GCTTTAGGGTGTAGGCTTGAGGGTTGGGGGCCTAGGGTTGAGTTTGGGTCCAGGGCTCCGCACCGGATCCCACCCCCCCCCTACAAAAAACACATAAAATATTTAATTATTATTTATTTATTGCGTATTTATTTATTTATATTTATATGTATATATCTTTATATCTATATTTATATTTATGTATATGTATTTATTTATTGCGTATTTATTTATTTATATTTATATGTATATATCTTTATATCTATATTTATATTTATGTATATGTATGTGTATATATATATATCTGTATAAAATACATGCGTCCGGGTTTCGGGTATGGGGTTCAGTTTGGGGTTTGGGTCTGGGGCTGGGGCTGTAGGGATTTATGTCAAAAGCGCTTCGGGGCCCAAGGGTCCCGGTTCCGGGGCATCGCCTGGCGCAGCATCGCCGGTCCAAGCAAGCCGTGTGTCGCAAGTTACCTGTCCTCCTTTCGACTCCATAAAATATATATATATGTATTTATATTTATTTATTTTTTCTATTTATTTATGTACACGTACACGTACACGTACACGTACACGTACATGTACATGTACATGTATATGTATATGTAAATGTATATAGACGTATGTATATGTAAAAAAGGCAATATATGTATGTCTATTCATATTATGGTTATGACAATTATGTTTGTATTGCTATTATTATTGCTATTGTTATTATTATTATTCTTAGTATTACTCTGATTATTATTTCTCCCATTACTATTAATATTAGTACCTGAGTCGGATTTCGGCGTGATGAAAAGCCCTAGACTTCAGCAAAGCGCAAGGGCATGTTCACCTGAAGGATTTGAGGCTCCCTGGAGGGTTTAGGGTTTAGGGCTAGGGTTTAGGGTTTGGGGTTTGGGGTTTTTGGGTTTAGGGTTTTGGGGTTTAAGGCTGATGTCTTAGGCTTCAGGGTTCCGGGCTAAGGGCTTGAGGCCCCACCAACATGGACCCTGACTCGCCATCTACAGATATCACTGATCCTCAACCCCTAAACCCCAAACCCCAAACCCCAAACCCTAAACCCAAAATGGAGGTTCCGTGGAGCGGCCCAACGCACACGGCTTCTATCCCGATAAAAAAATTCAATCGCGACCTGATCAGACATCAGGCATATGGCAGCTGGCGAGCCCTCACGGCTTATGGTTGTTTGGGGCTTAGGGTTTAGGGTTTAGGGTTAAGGGTTTAGGGTTTAGGGTTTAGGGTTTAGGGTTTAGGGTTTAGGGTTTAGGGTTTGGGGCTTGGGGCTTAGGGCTTAGGGTTTAGGAGTCTTGGGCTTACATTTTCAGGGTTCGATTCTTAGGGTTTAAAGTTTAGGGTGTAGGGTTTAGGGTTCAAGTCTAACTGCACAACCTCCAGCCGGATGCAGAATGCAGAATACACACCCAAGGGCCGCCCAAACTATTCGCAGAGTCCAGGCTTACTGATCCGAAACCCTAAACCCTAAACCCTAAACCCATATACATAGTTTGAAAGGAACCCAAAGCTCACCCCCTTTCCCCAAAACCCAAAAAAAAGTCGAAACTTTCTTAGATTACCCCAGGAACCCGGAGGCCAAAATGGAAGCCTGAAGGAGGGACCTTTACAAGGGACCTTTTCGGAGCTACTGAGGTTTTTAGGGGCCTTTCAAGGTGTTTACCCCTTGACGGCGTGCTCTTGCTGTTTGGCATGGGGTTTTTCGAAAGGCTCTCAAGCACAACGGGCTCACAAAGCCTAAACCCTAAAAGCGAAGAACCGCTACATGCACACACATAAAGAAATAAATAAAGAAATATACATATATATATATATAGATAGATAGATGCATACATACATACGCTCAGTTTTCTCGGCATGATGGTCCCTTGTTGCGGAAGAAACCCTAAATATGAGGGGCCGCCTTCGTCACCCTAAAAGGGGACCATACTGTAGAGAAGACACTATATATATATATATATTCATTTATCTATTTATATATATATATATGTATGTATATATGTATATATGTATGTATACATGTATATATGTATATATGTATATACGTATATATGTGTATATGTATATATGTATATATGTATATATGTATATACGTATATATGTGTATATGTATATATGTATATATGTATATATGTATATGTGGCATGGACCTTTAGGGTCTATTTGGCACGCCCGTTTGTTTACTATTTACAAAACTTCTTGAAAGAAGAAGAAGAAATAGTAGTAGTAGTAGAAAGTAGTAGTAGTAGTAGTAGTAGTAGTAGTAGTAGTAGTAGTAGTAGTAGTAGTAGTAGTAGTAGTAGTAGTAGTAGTAGTAGTAGTTGTTGTTGTTGTTGTTGTTGTTGTTGTTGTTGTTGTTGTTGTTGCTGTTGTTGTTGTTGTAGTTGTTGTTGTTGTTGTTGTTGAATTGTTGTTGTAGAATTGTTGTTGTAGAATTGTAGTTGTAGTTGTAGTTGTAGTTGTAGTTGTAGTTGTAGTTGTTGTTGTAGTAGTAGAAGATGTAGATCCGGCCGGCCAACAGGCAGACTTAACTCGACGCTCCAGGCAGGCACTTTAAAGAAACAGACGATGGCAGCCGCCTTCAGGCTGCCTTAATCCGAATCTTCAGGCAAGCAAACCGAAAAGAAGAAGACCATCCATCCAGCTGGCATACTTAACTCGACGCTTCAGGCAAGCACTGAAAAGAAGCAGACGATTGCAGCCGCCTTCAGGCTGACTTAACCCGAGTCTTCGTGCCAGCGAACCGAATAGAAGAAGACTATCCATCTAGCTGGCAGACTTAACTCGATGCTTCAGGCAAGCGCTGAAAAGAAGCAGACGATTGCAGCCGCCTTCGGTTGACTTAACCCGAATCTTCATGCCAGCGAACCGAACAGAAGAAGACCATCCATCCAGCCGGCAGACCGGCAGACTTAACTCGACGCTCCAGGCAGGTACTGAAAGAAACAGACTGGATCCGAATCTTCACGCCGGCAAACCGAACAGAAGAAGACCGCCCATCCAGGCGGCCGCAGGCAGACGTAACTCGACGCTCCAGGCAGGCACTGAAAGAAACAGACGATTGCAGCCGCCTTCAGGCTGACTCAATACGAAACTTCACGCCAGCAAACCGAACAGAAGAAGACCATCCGTCCAGCTGGCAGACTTAACTCGATGCTTCAGGCAAGCACTGAAAAGAAGCAGACGATTGCAGCCGCCTTCAGGCTGACTTAATCCGAATCTTCACGCCAGCAAACCGAATAGAAGAAGACCACCCATCCAGCTGGCCTACCGGCAGACTTACTTCGACGCTCCAGGCAAGCGCTCAAAAGACACATACGATTGCAGCCGGTGACTTAATCCGAAGCTTCAGGCAAGCAAACCGAACCATCCAGCCGGCCTACAGGCAGACTTAACACGACGCTCTAGGCCAGCGCCTACGGACAAGCAAATTATCCAGGGGCAACTGCTGCTGCTGCTAAGCACCGAACACACTTGGACACTGCACCGTCAATCTGTTTAACACAGTCATTTCAAGGCAATTGTGTTTCTAGATGCTTCGAACGTACGCAATCCAATCCTCAGCTATTGTCCCAGACACACACACACAGTTGCCTGCGTCCAGACGAAGAGATTTATTGAGCTTGGCCTGGCCGGCATGCAATTCTGTTGCTGGGTCTCCAAACACCTCACGTGACATGTGGTCTATGACACGTGCGGTGCATCCATGTGCTGCAGAAAGACGCTCACTCCTTTAATACGCTTTTGGTTCCGTGCTATCAATTCAGTTCAGGGCTCAAACCACGGGCTTCCTGCCACGCACGCCTGCACGGCGCAGGCTGTCTTGCCGAGTCAGGGTGGTGGGCGTGAGGCGCCGCTTCCGACTCTTTTGATCAGAAATTGCGGGCTTCTTGTGAACTGCGGCTTTGACAATGGCTCGCTCAGCTGCCAACTGCGGCTGTATTCGCAAGTCGGCTTTGCAGGGCGTGTGGCCATCTTTCAGCTCTGCACACCAGTCCTGCCATTCTTTTGCCGTCCAGACCTGCATTGAAGCTGTTCGAGCCAGGAGCTCGGCTTCTGCCATCTGTCTGGTGGCGGCTCTGTACAAGGCAGCGTTGTGAGTCATGAGCTTGCCGAGCCTAAAAATGAAAAGCTTCAGGGAAAGCGTGCTTTTGTGAATTTTTTGTGTTTCCCGGAACCAGTTGTTAATTTCGTGATGGAGTGCCTCATTCGAGGTTGTCCCCACTGGCAACAAACTCAAACGGCTTTCTGCAATCATATGGCGCATGCGCAAATTATTAAAGTACCACTCGGTACGCTGACAAGCCGTGGCCGTGTGCAGGAGTTCATAGATTTTCCTGTTCGGGCCAGGACACATCCGTTCCACGTCTGTACGATACACGGCGACCACGGCTGCCAGACTGCGAATCCAATCGATCCTTTCCAGAAATGGCTCCTGAGGATTTAAGGCACCCAAAATGTCGTTGGCCTTCCTCAGCGGCATGCTCTTGTCCTCGATTTGAACACGCGCTCTTTCTTCTTCGCGGGTCAACGGTCGATGGTTGTTGCCCGTGAAGATCGCTCCCCACGCAGTAGGCCCGCACACTGGGCTTCTAACTGTGAACTTCTGCATGATGCTCCGCAGGACTTTGGATAAAGCAGTTCTGCGGCGACTCGACGCGTACTCGCAAGTCATCGGCAGATGCACAGGATCCAATGCAAGCACTTGCAAATTGGGGCAAATTCGCCGAATGCCTTGCCATAGTTTGGTCGATGGGTTGTCGACACTAAGATAGCGAATTTGTCGCAAAGCTTCAGAGGACATGTGGGACGCCAAGGCCTCGATGACGACATCCGAGTCTTCAGATGATACAGCGCGTAGCAATACCACCGCGTTCGTGCGACCTCTGCACGTGAGCACCTGCAAGGGACACCGCAGAGGCCTTTGTACTATTATGTATAGTTTTGTTGCAAATCGATGCGTGTAACGCCTTATGTTTTTTTTTATGATGTGTGCGGTCAAGAGGCTCGCGTCAACGCGGCTTCGCCCTTGAAGACAGCCTGCGCTTTGACTTCACGCGATGCTCGTGGATGAGCCTGCCCCATAATGGGCAAGCAGCATCGCAGAGTTGCGTCCATGCTCACAACTTCGTATTCCTCGTGAGAGATGAGTTCCTTGGATAATGTATCGAGCAACTGAAGTATCCGAGGACTCTGAAAAACGTCCTCGAGCATGGGCCACCAGTGATTTGCATGACGCGGTATCAGGCTGCTCACCTCGCCCGGAAAGTGGGAAACCAGGCGAGCGTGCAACGCGTAGACCTGGAAAGATATTGAGTTCCGGAGCTGGTTTTGCTTACGCTATATATGTTGTTTAGTTTTTTTTGCGAATAAACCTCCCGCATGTAAAGCTTTGGTCAGCGCCTTGGCATCGCACAGCAAGAACTCTTTGAAAAGCAATTGAGCGAAGTCATGCGTGTAGTAAAGATTCCGCACGCGACGAACATCATGTTTCTGGACGGTCGCCAAGGGCCAGTACTGCGGACCGGAAGATGTCAGAACCAAACGTATTTGTTTGTCCAGCACCATCTGGCTCCTCGACACGGAGTCATCCAGATGAGCAGAGAGTAGAGCTGCGCTGCGGGCAAGGTAGTTGCCTGCTTTCCGGCGCTCACACTGGTCCTGGTCGTGGAGGGCGATGACCACTTTCAATTGTTTTGTGCCGCTGGCGACAAATTGTTTTGACCTGGTGTGGTGCTTTTGGATGTGAGCTACCACTCGACCAGGTCTGTTCCGCTCCCACGTGCGGGAAGGACAGAACGGACAAGCAGAAACCTCCGCCTTTTGGATGACCAAGGCTCTGGAACTGGAATCCTTGCTCAGGAAAGAATTGACTTCTTCTTCCAGAGCATCCAGAAGTCGATCCGCGACATGGGTAATGCCCTCGTCTTCCTGATTGTCTTCGTGCTCGGGATTGTCTGAAGAAGAGAAGGGCAGCTCCACGTCCCGAACGAAAGCGTCGGGAACTTCATCATAGTCGCCACCGGCCGCACCGGCTTGTGTTTCCAGCAGAAGCGTGTACTCATCCTCGTCCGCGTCCAAAGGACTGGATTCCGGCTTGTGGCCCAAGAAAATGAAGAGGATGTACTTTCGATCCGTGGCCTCTGAGCACATTCTGCTAAAATCTTGCATGGACATAGAAAACCTCTCTGCGCCATCTGTGATGCGGACGGATTCGGCTGAAAGAAGTTCTCCCGCGACGCAGTGAGGCCTGCCGCCCGTGGCCAAGTGGATGAAGAATTTTTGTCCGATTGCTAACCTCTGAGACGGGAACCGTGCGTACAAGTCCAGGTCGAGATGTGCGGAAACCTGTTGGTAGGTGCGGCACTGTCTGCGAAGGAAATATGTGTGGTCGGGGCCTTCAAGGGTGGAAGCCATACGCATGGCCTTCTCGGGTTCACCCAGATGATGCAGCGCTGCAAGAATGCAGTTCCCAGGTTTCGCAAGCACCTCGGGAAACACTACCTCCTCTTTGTTCTCGACGCGGCGCAGCATGGACATGAAGTTCTCGTGCTCCTTCGGCCGGATGCGGACCTTGAAGTCAGTCTCTTTCGAGATCAACATCTCACAGTCTCTGCAGAAAGTCTCAGGGTCTGGTAGCACCACGCTCCGATCGATTCTTAAGCCGTCGAAGTGAAGTGAAAGGTGTTTGGAATTCAAAGTCCTCGCCTTAGCGAGCCAGGCGTCCAACACGACGTCTTCAGCGATGTTCCAGAAATACGTCAGAATGCTGAGGTCTGGGCGTTCTTTGAAGTTCAATACAGACGCCCACATGATGTCCTTTAAAGCGGTGGCAGCCGCCCAGCGACAGAAAAGGGAGGCTCTCTGCAAATCCTGGACAAAGACGTTCTCGGCAAGTTCCGCCGGCGGAGCACCGCCGTTGAAAATTTTCTGAAGAAGAGACTTGCCGGTGCTCTTGTCTTTCTGCAGCTTGCTCTGAATCACTTCTGCGCGACGGTTGGCGCATGCGTCCAGGGTTTGACGAACTCCGGGCCAGGAGTCGTGCTGCGGTTCCAATTTGTCCAAAAGTTGCAGGATGAGACTGAAGCAGGAGTTTTCGATGTCGAGATCCACGGTGTCCGCCAGCACGGCTGCCTGCCAGGCGGTGCCGAGATGTTGCACAGACCTGGACTCTCCATATCGGCGAGAGCGAACTCCGTCGAGCTTGTAGTGATATGATGTAGTCTTGCTGACAGAAGGATGACTTTCAGGAAAGGGATTGCCAGAGGAGCCATGGCCACCAGACAATCCTTCGTCAGCAGGGACTGGGCTCGATGGCTCGGATGGCAATATCCTTTTCTTTCCGCGCTGCCGCCTTAGGGGGCTGACGGATGAAGCCGCAGGAGCGACGCCCTGTGCTTCCGTGCGTTCTGAAATGCGGCCCTGCAAGAAATCGAGCAGACTCGAAGCGCACTCTTCGTGCTTGGACAGCTTCTCGGCCCGGGATTTCCAGAACAGAATGTATTGGTCTTGCGTCAGAGAGTTACGACCCCTCTTCCCTTGCACCTTGCCCAGTACCTTGGTGAAGAAGTGGCGCAGAAGCTCGGCGTTCGCAGCTCGACTGGGATGCAGCTCCAACGCGTCCCACAGTGCGCGGGCGTTCAAGTGCTCTTCCAGCAACGTGGTCTCTTCGCTGTATTTGTAATCCAAAATGTCTGCCAGCTGCTTCTTTAAGGGAATGACAGGGATGAAAACGTCTGGGTTGGCCTTCTTCTCCATGGGCAGCAACCATTCCTTCTCGAGAAGATCTTGCCAGATTTTTTTGTCCAGGCCCAATTTGGAGGTCGCCCATCTTTTCCACCAGGCTGTGGTGTACGAGGTCTTTCGCACGGGCTCCGGCTTACCCGGGCCAAAGCCCAAGGCGTACTCCACGACAAGCTTGTTGGCCTGACTCAGCGCGTCCTTCGGACAAGCGCTGTTCTCCTCGCTTTCTTGCTGCAAGAGACTACTCAGGGCGGACTGCTTGCGGTCACTCTCTTCTTCCTTGGTTCACTGGAAGTTACTTTTCCGACTGCGAAACTTGACAATAACCGATCATGTCAACAGAACACATGTTTGCTAGCATAAAAGCACTTATGCTCACCATATCGATCAAGACTCGACTCGAACCTTCAGGCCGCAAGCCTCTCGCATCTTCTTCTCCGTGAGGCCACTCAGCGCCACCTCCTCAATAATTCTACGCGAACTCTCCCTGCAATGCTCTGCCTCAAAGCCATGTTGCATTTCCAAAGACGCGGCGATGGCCGGCCCGTTAACCAAAAAAGTCTTCAGCGAGGCATCTTTCAGGAAAATGCCGTCTGCGTCTGGATCCTTGTACTCCTCGCCGAAGTCGGTGTCATCCACGAAGATAGGCTTTGGAATCCAGACCAGACACCGTCTGTAAATTGAGTTGAAGTTGGCCTCCATGACGTTCCGGAAAGTCATCACCCGATTGGTTTCGAAGCGCTTGAAGCCGACCACACGCAGCATGCGAGTCACGAAGCCGTACGGGCGACGACCGGCGAGATCGTCTGCAGACATAAGCTTTTTGAAAAGATCCTGTTGAAAGTGCCTGTGGGTCTCAGGAGCTTCTTGAGCAGTAATCATCCAGCAGTTTGCAAACTGCTCTAACTGCTTCCGGAGTTCATCTTCGTTATGAAACAGATTTGGATCAATAAAAGCATGATTGTGCGCGTATACAGCATCCAGATGACTGCTGAACAAGGACTGCCCCGTGCCGCCAGAAGATTCCCCAATGAAACATCTGTCGATGTTTTCACCACGCTTGGCCAGCGCAATAGCTGCTAACGTGGCCTTGAAGTAATCTTCGTTGCACCAAAAGGTCTGCCGGATGAATTTATTCAAGCGCGCCCTTGCGTTTTCTAGCACTGGATCCGGAAGCGAAGAAAGCAGTGGATGAGGGATCCTGACGTATATGTTGTTGTCTGGAGAGGGTTGTACGAGTCGCACGTGCTCATCTGCAGAAAGGTCGTACAGGAGTGAGACGTCATCAAATGCGCAGCCGGCTGTCCGAGTGGGCGGAGTGTCGCACCATTGCGCAAGGAATTGCAGAAGTCGACCTGCAATATTGTTTCGGCTGCGTGCTTTGTTTCCTGCAGGACTCCATGACTATTCACAAACCGAAAACTCCTGCTAAATTTAGGACAAGATGCGCTCTTCCAGGAGATCTTTTTGCAGCGGGCCGATGAACTTGCCAAGCATGTCCGCGGTCCACGTGGGCCAGCCGGCTGCGTCGGCCTCACCGCCTTGGCGCCGGCGAGCAGAGCCGGGACGGCCGGGCAGAGTCATGATCGCCTCGTCCTTGCAGACATTCATGAACTCTTCGTCGCTGTTGTACTCAGCCCGCAATCTGGACATCTCTCGTAGGACGCCGGAGTCCGAGCGCTGAACGTCCACCGACATGAGTCGAAACATTCCTTCGAGCTTCAACAGAAAGTTCTTCAGCCGGTGAAAGGTGGACTCGGGTGGGACTCCGTTGAATGCTTCGAAGGCGCCCGAATCATGATACAGATAGCAGACCCCTCGGTGAGCACGCAGGAACCGCTCACCTTCGATGATCCATATCAGACCAACGAAATCATGAACGAAAATGTCCGTGTAGCGCGTCCGATACACGGTAATTGCAGCCGCAGCCATGCGAATCATTTCTTCAGACCAGTGCTGGCGCTCCTGTCGCACAAGCTGCAGAATTCTCTGGGTTTGCTGCTTGATGTTCCCGCTGCCGGACGGGGCCTGCGTCTCTGGCCAGTTTCGAAGAGAAGTCTGGTAAGCAGATGTCGCCGAATCGAAAAAACTTTGGAACGCTGCCGCTGTGGTCGATGCTCCGGGCTGCAAGCGCCTTCTCTTGGCAGCTGCCATCGCCTCGGGGGTCAGCGCCGAGGGAATGGCCACCTGAAGCTGTGCGTCTGGGACAGACTCCACGACTTGTCTCTCGTCGTCCTCGGCCTGACGTTCTTCATCTAACTCCTGCTGAAGCATCTCCTCAAAGGAATATTGCTGGGAAGGGTCAGGCTCTAGGTTGCTTGCGCCGCCAGTCATTTCCTGCCACGCAGCCCCGCAGCGCTGCCGATGATGCTGCACCATGGAGAGAACCTCATTCTCAAGGTCCGGCACATCATCTACGAACGGACCCGATTCCGAATTGTCCGGATGCAGGCAAACGACGTACATGCCGCTGACAGTGAACCCGTAGTGCCGTTCAATGATGTACTTGTACAAGTTCAATTGAAGGCGATAATGCCAGCCGGCTACATCTGGAATTTCTTGCAACGGCCGCATCATGTTTCGCCAGGGATTGTTGTATTTGGAACGCAGCTGCTTTGTGCGCTTCCAGTCGAAGAGAACCAAGCTTCCGTCCGACGCCTGTGCGACAAAGTCGATGCATCCCGCGACACTGTCTTCTTTGGAGAAAATACACCACTCCGTGCGATAAGCCAGCAGATTCCGACTGAATGCAGCAAGGAACTTCTGGAAAAGTTGTACTTCGATGCAGTCGCACGACGCGTAACCTCCGTTGAGAAGGACTTCCAGCTGCAAGTGCATCCAAGTCCCGCGATTGGCTGCTTCCTGACTGTTATTTTGCCACAGCTGCCGGATCTCGTCCGAAGTCATCTCGACCAGGTTCCCGTCTTGCAGTTTGGAATACTCTGCACGCGGCCAGCGTGAACTACGTTTCATGCTTTGTATGGCCGCCGCAGCATCGAATGGCTGCGAGTAACTGTGCACCAATCCAGTGACGGATGTGGACATGGCCGCGCCGTCGACCTTGTAGACATGAGACTGCGCCAGGAAGCTTACACGCAAATCTCTGGAGTGTGGGTTAAACTCCGCCAGGAAAGAAGCCTCCACTAGAGTCCGCGGCATTTCCAGAAAATTAGTGGGCACCCTGGTGAGCTTCGGAGCTGCGCATTGAAAAGAAGCAGCGCTTGGAACGCGAATAAAAGAAGTCCCAGCACCATACGTTGGACAGCAAGCTGGAGAACAGCCTGACTCCCACTGAACATGAAACGAGCTCTCACTCTGGTCCTCAGACGCGTTGCGTGTCTGACGCCTGCGAGTAAAAGCCGTCGCTCTGCTGCGTGAAAGACGCTGCCACTGAAAAAAGTTCAGACCGTTTCCCAGCTGTAGCTCATGAGCCCCATGATCATCCACTGGGAGAGCGCCTCCGAACGTTTCTGTCCACGTCGTCTGAACTCTGCTTGCGCCAGAAGGAACATGTTGTTGTCGTCCCCGAGTTTGCTGCTGATGAAACAAAAGCACGTGAAGTTGCAGCGCGCAGTCCATGGCGATGGATCGCCATGCCTCCGAGTCGTCAACAGTGGCAGGGTGTCGCAGACGCAACAGAGGACTCTGGCGTGAAGTCGCAAGGTCCTCGGCTTCGGCGTGCAGGAATCGGAACAGCAGCAAATCTTGTTTTTGGTCCAGAAAGTCAAGGATGGCTCGTGCCCGATACATGAGGCGCTCCCACGTGCGCTTGCTCATGCCTGCTCTGGCCTGTGGGACCGGAATGAGTTGGACGGCTGCGGGCGTTTCCCGCAAGAATTCCTCATGATCTCGAAGAAGTTTCAAGACGACGTTTTCGAACTTGTCGTCGCCTCCTTCCAGCTTTCCGCCTTTGAGAAAGAAATCAACTGCGTCCCTGTAAGATATTCCTGTCTCTTTGCGCCGGGAAGAGAAGGATACCCCGCTGCTGCCACCAATGTAATCTGACAATTGCAGCGGGCAGCCCGGACACTGAAAGCTGGGCGATTCGTGGGCATGTCGAGCACAGATCCAGCTGCAGCATTCGGGACACACTCGCCATCGACCCACCGTGATGGGACGTTCGTCCTCGCAAAGCAAGCACTGAACGTGGGCGCTCGGAAGAAGAGGTGACGGCAAGGGCCTTAGCTTCAGATCCGGCTGCGTGAGCAGCCGTTTTGGCTGCTTCGCCCAAACGAAAACAATCGACTGCGGGGCGGGTCCATCCGGCAAGTCCTGGCGGATGCGGGCACAGCCGAGGGTCTGGTGGTTTAATTGCACTGCCAGCCAGCGTTCATTCCACATAAGCATCATTTGGTTCCAGCCGTTGGCGCGCAGCTGACTTTGTTGCATAGGCCGATGGTCTGGATCCAGCGCCTGTCCAGTCATGCCAAAGGAGAAACCCATGCGCTCAGTGAAGAGCTCATGCATTTTCACGAAGCTGCGCCGGTTGCTGTTGAAAGACTTTACGCCCACATAGATTTCACGAACCTCAGCCGAGAGCCAAAGACAAAAACGCGCAGTGCCGAGTAGGCAATGCGTGGACTCGATGCTGGCGTGCCTGACTCGATCCAGCCTGATCGGCGCCACTTGCCACTCGATAAGCGCCCTGAGAGCAGTGAGGGCAGGCTGACGCATGCTTGCCAGCTGCGTTTGCGTGCACACGATTGTGCGCGCCAGAGACCACAATGTTTCCATTTGTCGCACAGCAGCGGGTTCCCGCATGTCTTCGTCATTGAGAAACAGGTCCTTGTTGCACCACAGCAACGGCTGCAGCACATGCCTTCTCAGTGCTGTGCAACAAGTAGCCAGAGATCTGAGATAGTTCAGCGAGAAGAAGTGTTCCGGCAGGCGAAGTACGATTTCTGGCGGCAAGAAGCACGCGTCCGCTCCGCCAATGTAGTCCAGAAGCTGCGCCGGACACGTGGGGCAACGTCGAAAAGGACTGTCGGCCACATGTCTGGAGCAGACCCAGTTGTTGCAATCTGGACACACACGCCATCTGTGAATTGCCACTGTGTATTCGCGGTCGCAGATGGCGCACACAATCTTGGCGTTCCGCATGACGGGAGACGGCATCGGATTGAACTCCACGTCCTCCGTTGAAGCCGAGAAGAAAAAGGTAGCCAGAGGCGGCGCGCCAGACACCTCGCCAGGTTGCAACAGCCCTGCTGCCACAAGTACGTCGTCCAGCGTGACGCTGAGGAATCTTTGGCTCCAGCGAAAGACAACCTGGTGCAACTTGCGCGGGGTAAAGGAATGAGAGCTAGCAGGCTCATACAAGCTCGGCCGTCTGCCGGTGACGCCGAAGTACCATCGTGGACGGGCCCCGACAGCGCACACGTTCTTGATTCGAACGAAAGTGTTTCGAAAACCATGCAGCTGTCTGGAGCCCATCTGCAGGCTTGTCACGCCTGGCGGAACTTTCAATGAAAATGAGGCCACACCCAGGAGTGGCGAGCTCGAGAAGAATCCTCTGACTGGACCCGGAGGAATGGGATTGCGTGGAGACCACTGTACACGGACGTTGATCGGAATTGTGAGCAGCTGGGCTAGCTGCGGCACTTCCATTCGCAGCGATGATGCCGATCTGCACAAAACGGTCATCGACCGCAGGTCTTCAGCACGGTTGAAGTCTGGCCCTGCGAAGTTCAGATCGAGATTCAGCCATCTGCTGGAGCGACGGACGCATCGCAGCATGCCTCGAGAACAAGCAGCAAGACGACTCTGATAGGCAGGCGCCAGAAAGTAGTCGGGAAACACGTCCAGGACATCTGCTGGAAGGCTTCCCCCCGAGTAGCGCACGTCCGCGTTGGATTCGAGATCTTCAATTCTCACCAATCTGTGTGGAAAAGGGCTCCAGATCCATTCCGCATCTCCCCAATGGAAATACGTGTCCTGCAGCGCCGGCACGTCCTGGTTCACCTCCTCCCAAAATCCGGAGCCATCCGACTCAGTTGCTGAGACTTGGCGGTTTATGGCAGGTGCTTCCTGGAATTGTATTTCTGTCCACACTTGCAGAAGCCGCTGGGCGGAGTCGACCTCGGTTTTGCCTCCCTGGTACTGCCGAAGAGCGGGACCCATCTGTTGGCACGGCAACGCACCATCATCAGGCACCACGGCAAAGACAGCGTCCAGATTTGCTGGGTTTAATGTAAACCACCCTTCCTGCGACTTCTGCACGGCCCGACCGACTGTGTTGTTGCAGAGGCGGAGATCGAACCACGAGTGTGTTCTCATGGACGAATTGGTCTGAAGACGATGCCCGCTGATGCAGCGTGCTGGCATGAAGTGGGAGGAGAACGCCAGGATGTAGTCGCCGGGAGCGCTGATCATCTCGACAACGCAGGAGGGCCGAATGGTTTTATTAAATGGCCTGAGCCACTCCATGCCATCCTGGATACACCAAGGGCCCTTGCCCGGATAGGGCACCTTGTTGCCCAAGGCGCGCAGGGAGTCGACGAGACAGCACTCCTGGTGGAAGTTGTCCCTCCGACCTGGTCAGCAACGTGCCATTCGATAACCGAGCCGACAACAAAGTCAAGACATAAATCGACGAGGAGACAGGTGAACATGACTGAGTCTTTGCTCTGGTTGAACTTGAGATGAAACAGATTAGTGAAGATGCCTGCGACGTCTTCGATCTTTGAGCTGCAAGTCTTGACCGCGCGGGCTTTCGGCATTGCGCACATCAGATTCCACGCCACGGCTTGCTCCCTGGTGGACATGACTCGAAAATAACTTCCACCTAATGACTGACGTGAAGAATATATGTTTTCGCACGCAGTCACGGAGCCCGCCTGGACAGGGATGGCCTCGGCCTCACGAGCTTGATCTTGGGCGGTCCCTTGTTCCTTGCCACGTTCTGGACGTCGGCAGAGATGGTGGCCGTGCTGCGTGCACGAGAGCACATGTTGGCAACGAGCTTGTCGTCTGCAGCAGAAGGACACACGTGCACACACGGTATCGTGTTTGAGAATCAGCGCTTTGTCTGGTTTCGTGCGCTTTCTACGCAGTCGAGGCACAGGAGGAAGGAGCAGAGATGAGCTTGCCGTTAGCTCCGCGATGGACCAGCTGCTTTCCGAAATGTCGGCAGCCGAGCCCTCGGACTCTCAAAGGCTTAGCGGTTTAGTTCGTTGGGCTGCGTTTTGTCAGAAAGAGCACGTCTTGTACTTAGACAAGTTGCAGTGCTGCTGATCCTCCATGGACTGCAGACCCAGAAGCCAAGCCTGCGGGGTGGGACATGACGACGCACCAGCCCAATAACATGTGCACATGGACAGCTTCAGCTTCCACTAGCGCCAGCCCAGGGGCACTCCATTCGCCGCCTTGGTTGGGCAGGT